CACTATTATTATTATTATTATTATTATTATTATTATTATTATTATTATTATTATTATTATTATTATTATTATTATTAGTTCAGATTTAAATTCTATAAAAATTAGCTAAAAATTAATATTAAAATTTTTATTAAATTAAATATAAAAAATAATTTGAAATATTTAGTTATTTTAGTTTTTATCAGATTAAATATAAAAAAATTGATTTCAATTAGTATTAATATATTAATATTGAAAATAATTTAGAATATTAAAAATATTAAATTTATTTTTGATTTATTAAAAATTTATAAATTGAGTATAAAAAATATTAATTTTATTTTGATATTTATTAGTTTTTATCAGATTAAGTACAGAAATAGTTAATTTTTTTAGGTTATATTTTATTAGTTTTATTATATTAAGTACAGAAAATAATTAGTTTTTACTTAGATTAAAAATAAAAAAATTTAAAAAATTTAATTTTTATTAGTTTTTATTAGATTTAATATAGAAATAATTAGATTAAATATAAAAAATAATTAATTTATCAAACTAATTATAGAAAATAATTTGATATATTTAATTTTTAATTATTATTAAATTAAATACAAAAAATAATTAGTTTTTTTAGAAAATAATTAAAATATATCTATAAAAATTTATCAAAAGCTTAATAAAATATAATAAAATTTTATTAGTTAATATTTTTTTGTTTGATATTAAAATAAAGCTAAAATTTATATTTTAATTAGTTATAATAATTAACAAAAATATAAAATTATTTATATAATTTTATTAATAAAGTTTTTTGCTATTTATTATTTTTAATTATTATTATTATATATATTAATACTAGTTTTATTAATTATTAGTTAAACTAATTATTATAAGTTAATTTAATTAAATTTTATTAATTATAATTTATTTTTTTAGAGTTATAAAATTAATTATATTTATATTTAATTTATATATATTAATTATTATATTTGTGAATAATTATATATTTTAATAATAAAAAAATTTATTATATATTTAAATAATTTAAAATTCTAATAAATAATTATATACAAATTTTTATATATAAATTATATATATTATATAATTTTATATTTATTTAATTAAATATAAATTAAATTATTATTAATATTATTTAATAAAATAAAAAAATTGATTATCTAATAATATTATATTATAAAATATTTTAATTATAATAAAAATATATTATAATAAAAAAACTAAAACAATAAATAATAAAACTTTTATAATTATAAATTATTTTTATACTTTTGTATTATAAATAAAAAATTATTATTAATATTATTTAATAAAATAAAAAAATTGATTATTTATTAATATTTATTATAAAAGATTTTAATTATAATAAAGAAATATTATAATAAAAAAACTAAAACAATAAATAATTAAACTTTTATAATTATAAATTATTTTTATTCTTTTGTACTATAAATATAAAAGTATATTAATTCAATAAATAAATTAATTATAAATTTTTAAATTTGAATATAATTAACTTAAGCTTTTAATAATTAAAATAAAAATATTTATCACTAATTCTTTTTAAATTATATAAATAATAATATAAACAAAACTATTTCTATATAATTATTTATAATAAATTAACTAAAAAAAAATTATTTATATATTTCTCATTTTAAATCATTAAATTTTGAAGTTAATAAAATTAAATATTTGTCTTGAACAGTTATTTGTGAATATTGAATAGCAAAAAGCTTTAAAATAATTATTTAATTAGATGAATCCAGTTTAAATTTCAAGTTTTGAATGTATATAATATAAATCTTCAAAGGAGATTGATTGCATTGCAGCTATAATTAGACATAATATTAGTTATATGTTCTGGATATATTTTTTCTGAATTGGTCATGTTGTTACTGATATTACACACTGTAAGATTCTTGTTAAATAATTTATACAATTAAATCTCACGCAAAAAATTCTTTTTCAAGAGAATAATGTATCTGTTCATATCACCAAAGTTGCTAATTCTTTTCTTGACTTCTCAAATATTGAAGTGCCACCTTGGCCAGCTCAAAGTTTTGATCTTAATCTTATAGATCATTTATTGAGATTAAAATTTCTCAACGTGATTCACAACCCTCAAATATTATGCAATTGGAAAGGTGGATTAAGAAGGAATTTGATACAATACCAGTAAATTATTATCATAATTTAATTAAATCTATGCCATGCTGGGTATGGGGGTCAAATGAAGTATTAATTTGTTATAATAAATAAATAAAAATTTATGTGTTGGTTAGTTCACAAAATTGTTTACAAAAATGTCCAACACTTTTTATATCTCCGTATTTTTCTTATTTATAAGCCTTTTGTGACTTTATAACTGCTAGTTTAGATGCAGTTTTATTTTTATTACATCAATTTTGATCTCATCAATTATGATTTACAGTTATTTACAAGTTTTAATCTTTCTTTGGTTTTATTAAAATCGATTGGAACAATTTGGAGATGTTTATTATCTTGAGGCCTCAATTTTAAAAACAAAAATTCTGGATATATAGATCATTAATAGAAATGTAGAATTTTACACTCAAGTTGTCCAGATGACCGGAAATTGTAATTCTGCATTATTGATTTTTGAAAATCATTTTTTAGCGTTTTTCCATTGTCCCAAAGCGCTTTAGAAAATGTATACGTAATTTATCAAGCAAAATGTCAATTCATTAATAATTAAGTATATTATGATTGAAAATACAGCCAGTGTATTTTTATTTGTCACGAGTTTATTAACTTTATGTACGAAAAAACTATTATATTAAAAGTAGAACAAAACGGAACAGAACAAACAGAACTGATTAAATGCTACGAAAACGGTAAAAAACGAATTGCCTAGAAATGCAAGAAACGAGTATAAACAGAACGAAAAAAAAGACGAATTGAAAAGAACTGATTAGAAAGACAGAACAGAAAGAACAGAAGAACTAATATAATTAGAAAACTAGAACTAAATCGATCGAAAAACAAGGTACTATCAATTTACAAAAATAATGACTAATTAATATTAAATATGTACAATTAGGAATATCGATATGTGCAGAACTAAATACTTTTGGAGTGTGATATGTGCAGATTATATATACTAAATACTTTTAATATGTTTGGAATGTGCAAGTCTATTTACATATTTACAAATTAAAATATATAATACAAATGTTTACAATTATTATAAATGTCCATAATGAATTTCCCCCGAATTAATTCACGTTTTGTGTTTGAATTTATACACCATAATACTGCTTGCAAGTTTGTTGATTCTCTCTTATTGTAAAAGCGCAGCATGACGATGAGTTTTTAATTTTTTTTCGTCGTCGACCCGGGCAAGGATTGATTGAATGGATTCAGCTTTTTTGCTTGACGCACATTTAACGAACAATGAGAAATAGCGTGTTGTGTTTATCATGTAAGTTGATACAACATCGAGAAAGAGAGAATATTTCTTTTTTCATTACATTTTTAAATTATTGGATTTTATTCTTCTTGCCTGCTACAAAAAATCCAAGTAACTATTCATCTCGCTTTTATACTTTTTCACGGTTAAAAAACAAAAATTCATAACGATAATCAAAACGTGTTCTTTATTGTACTTTGACACCCGCCGCATATGCACATACATACGTATGTACATGTATACCAATATCCAATCCATTGTTCATAGTTAACAATAAATGTGGCGCGTTGATGCATTATTACACTTATTGTTTATCGTTATAGTTAGGGTTTGAATATTAATACAATTCACAAAATAGTATTGTATTCGATAATTGAAGTAGAAAGTGGTTGTTATTAGAATAATGAACTTGACGTCGTTTCGGCGATAGTTTTTTGTAATGATTGTAAGGAGGAACAATAAACCATCAGTCTCATTTGGTATTTAGTATGAAATTTAAGAATGCAAGTTTTCATAGAAGAGACAATATACAGTTATTTTGTCTTGTTATATATAATACCATTTTTTAAATTCGAGAATACGTCATGTCTCGACATTTTCAATGCATACTACGTATCCATACTTGACATAAGTTTAATGCAGAATATATGACCTTTGCATTGTTGAATTTTTGGCAAAAGCCACAGTTTAATTGCTATCGATATTACTTCATTGCATCACATGATCACCAAAAAGATTCAATAACGATAAATTTTTTATATTGTTTTTTTGTTACTTTGGTTAGTAATAAATTGAAAAAAGTTCTGCAAGTGTATTAAAACTATAATTATAGCATGTTTATAAAGCTCTAAATGTTTTATATCTCTAATGCTATTCAATAAGGTAATAAAGTCCAACCGCGACTGTTAATTAATGCTAAAGAGCTCAATTGTCTTGGTACTTAAAACAAACATCACACCAAATTATTTTGCCAATATAGAAATACTTAGTTTAAAAAATGAACCTACAAGTAAATAAAACACACGACTGTCTAGAAAGAAAATGTCATCGCGAGACATTAATAATTAATTTAATTCGCACACCTATCAATGATCAAAGCAAAATGCGAAACCTTCAATGATCACGCAAGAGCATTTAGTAATACTAGACAAGTTTGTTATAAAGTAGTAAAACAAGCTTGTGTTTTTTATTATACATCTTGATAAAAATTTATATGTTCATAAAGCATCTAAATTAAATCATGTATTTATAAAATGCCATGGAATATATCGCTCGATTTGACGTGGTTATGCAAAATTTGTAAAAACCACTTTATAAGATATTTATTTAAAATTTACTTATTTTAAAAAGTAGCTCGTAGTATGTCTCTCATTTCGAATCTGGACCCCTGCGAGAAGAATTCAATACGTACGTTTGTCATAATTAAATTTGAAAGAAAAAAAATCATATTCTCTTAATAAAGTTTAAAAATTTAAAAATGATAAGTATTTACGAGAAAATAAATATCCATCAAATCTTATATTCGTATATTTCAAGCATTTTTTAAATAATATTACACATGAATATGTTTAATGATATATATACAAAACCATAAATTTTATTTTAATAATATTCTATACCTTTTTCTTAGGGGGATTTCAAAATTCTAATAAATAAAAAAAATTAGTTCATCTATAATTAAAAGTCACACATGTTATTAATATTTTCGTTTATTCTATAAGATTTCTTTTGTTAAAATTTAATTTATTCTAAATAAATACACACAATTCTTTCAAACTTGCATCATTACAAAATCAATGGTACCTCATTATACTCGGACTCTTTTAACACGCATTGGTGAAGTTTTGACAAAAATTTTAACCATATGTTTCACTTCAACAAATTATTTTTTTTATATCAAAGCTTTGAATGCTTAAATAATTATAATTTTTTATTTGTTATCTTTCCAAAAAAAAATAAAAAGATTCGTAATTTGTAATTTAAACTTTAAAGTACATGTATTATTACTCAATGCAAGTTCTCGAGTAGATAATTTTTTTAGATGAATACAAAGACTTAAATTAAATATATAATTTCTTCATACAATGAATGCTTAATTATAATTTGTTAATTATAATAAATATAAAAATTCAAGTATTATTAATTTGTATTAATCATTTATATTCTTAGTAAGATTTAAAATGTCAATAATTTATTTCATTTCTATGTAATAAAAATTTGTTTCATTTCTATGTAATAATAAGTTACTTTTAAAAGAGATTCAGATTTCTATTATATTTTTATAGATCATATACGTACTACAAAATGAGTTTGATTCATGAAAGAGATAAACTAAAACTCTAAATTTCGATTTTAATTTATAATAAAAAAATGCAAAATTCAAATATTATTAATACGTGCTATGTTATTTTTTCATATTATATAATATTTATTTTCACTAAAAGTATAAACTATTTTGGATTTGGCATGTATATCTTGAATGTGATGCAATGATATAATATTTCTATATTGTAAAAGGTTTATTGGATATATATTGTTCTTAATAATCTATATTTTGGTAGACAATTGTTCATGATCAAATCAAAGTATATCTACTTTAAAATTTTCTTTATATCAAACTATAGTTTAATCTAGACTTTAAGCAATTGCTCATGAAGAATATAATATAACTATTTCAAATTCTTTTTCTTTAAATGTTTATACTTATATTTATCTTTTGTTTTAGTATCAAGTCTAAAAGCATATTATTTTTTTTATTAATTTGTTCCAAAAAATAATTGTTTTTATTTGTGAATATAATTCAAAGGCATAGTATCAACTGTCATAAAGGTTTAATGTTATTAAGTAATTGGTCAATGTTTTTATGTTCAAATCTGTATTTCCTAAATAATTTTCTTTTCACATTTTTACGTTCAAGATAGCAGTTCGAAATTCTTGCCAATGACAACGCAAGTACACTTTTATATATGCATGTCGCTCCAAAAATCGTGCATCTTAATTGATTAGCTTGCGATCCAGACATCACCAAGTAAAAAGTTTGACGAAACAAATGACAAAGCAATTTAATTACGACCATGTAATTTATTCGACGAGTTTATTAACGAATGTAATATTTAAATAGAACAGAACAGACAGAATTGATGATATCAATAAAACGAGAAAAAACGTACGAAAAAAAAAAACAAAACGAGAAGAACGAGAAATCGAAAGAAAGGAACAGAACAGAACGAGAGAACTGGAGAATGAACCGAAAAGTAAAATTAAAATTTACAAAATTAATGTCTAAATGATGATTACTTTTGAATATTATATACAATTAAAATTGATACTTTTGAATATTATATACATATTATGTAAATTAAACTAAAAACTTTTGTTGTGTGGGTATCTATATACATTTTTATATACGTATGATACAAATTATTACAAGTTTACAACTTTGCAATTTTTTAATTGTCCATAAATTAGCTGACGCGTTTGAGGTTATCATGCGCTATGATTTTCATTGCAAAGCCTTTTATTGTGATGAACTAGTTGGCGTAGGCAAGAGCTTGATATGAATTTCAGTTCGTTGTTGGTGGAGGCAAGAGATGGTTGCCGCATGTTTAGGTACATGTATTACGAACATGGAAGAGCAATGTAATATCGCATGATCATCACATAGCCATATCGATATCGAGGAAGAGAGTGAAATCTGGTTTACTTTGTTTTATTTTTAGTGATTATATTTTTTTCTTTTCTTGCCTGTTACAAAAAATCCAAGAAGGTTTTCATCTCGTTCTTATACTTTTCTTCTCGACGGTTAAAAACAAAAGCATAATTAGAACTGTCAAGAATTGTGTAATGGACCCATTGTTCGGAAGATTGACATCGTCGATTACTTTATAGGTAAACAAATGGTGTGGCGCGCCCCTACATTATCTGGGACGCCACTACAGTTATTGTGTTTTTTTTGGGAACACAGTTCATATTGTTGGAAGGTTAGTTTATGTTGTCGGCGGCAGTTTTCTAAATATAATGATTGTTAAAAAGAACAATAAAGTAAACATTATCTTGTGCGGAATTTATTTCGTTAACAAATAAAAGTTTGATTGTTCATATATTTGGAAGAAAAGACTATCCACAATATGCCGTTTTTGTTGTTGTTTTCATTCGAGCATAGCGTCATAATTCGGCATTTCTCAAATCACTGAGTTCTTTACATTGTCTCTCACAATAAAGTGTGGCTTCTCAATAAGTTTTTCCCACTCTAAATTTTTGTTTATCTTTTGCGGCTAAATTTTTTTTTGCGCTGTGATTCTAAACGTGGAATGCCACGTTTATGCCAGTTGATTTTATTGTTATTAACAAATACAGTAAACAAACTTTCTGCTTGGTGAGTTTTTTAAAAAATGCATATCGATATCACTCAATCGAAAAATTATGTTAAGATAACGACTTGATCGAAAAATTATGTTAAGGTGACGATAACTTGAATATTTTCAAGAACTGGGAACTCGATTCAATACATTGCAAGCTATAAAAAGCTAAATCGAGCAGGCGCCTACGGGTCGATTATCACCAACTTGCATCATCTTCTCTTAACATGGGATAGCGCATAAAAACAAACAATATCGATATCGCTATATTCAATCACTAATCATAACTCAACGTTAATAAAACAAAGTGCGCATTTTTTCATTCTCTGAAAATTACGAATAATCACGAGCAAGAACACATAATGATAATATTGCGAACAACGATTGTTTAGATAGTAAATGATAACGAAGATGCATTTTATTTTTTATTTGTGACTTCCGCGAATTGATATGACCAGCATATCAATTTACGTAGATAGCGAGATAAAACGTAAACACTAAGAACAGAACAGAACAGATAAAACAGAACAGACTAACTAATTACATACGAATATAACGAAAAAAAAAGTACGAAGGTAAGAATATAGTCGAATTTAAATGCGAATTAAACTGAACAAACAAGCGAGTTTGAACAAGAGAAATAAAACGAAATTAACTCAAAATTAAAATAAATTTACTTTTGGAGTATGTACAAATTGAATATACAAATTGAATATACATTATGCACAGGATATACACTACTATTATTATGTACAAAATTAATCATATAATACTTTTGAAAAAGGTATTTACAATAATGTTCCTTTATTTACAGGCCAAAAAAATGCGGAATTAACCAAATGTTCATCGCATTAAATTTTTGAGGTGTTTTTTTTCGGCGGATTTTTTTCTGTGATTATTTCGCTCGTTTTGTCTTTCCGGAAATCATTGTATGCGATATCAGGCTCCATGGAAAGTTCTCATTTTGATGTTGTTGTTGGTGAAAAGTTTTCGTTTTTGTTGTGTCGTTGGAGCCATTTAGAGCGAATGTGTTTGTGATGAATAGGTTCGAAGGAATTGAACCCTATTTATTTTTTCCATTCAATTCATTTTACTTGAATTGTTTTTATTACTTTTAAAAAATTCACCGAGACAATTTGATCACTTGCTTTTATACTTTCTTCGTTTCTCGACGTTAATACCGAAAACTATTTTACCATATACATCTACATGTACATCACAATGAAAATGATACTAGCGATAATGTAAAAATTGTAAATTGTTCCACAACATCATTCATGTACAATGCCGCCTAATTCAATCACTCACCATTGTTCACAAAGAATAAAAGCATAAGAAAAAACTGGAGCAGCACGGTGAATTTCCGCTTTTGATTTGATCAACAAAAGAACACAATATAAGTAGGACAATTTTTACCAGTGTTGCCCGAATTTTTTTTTCAACTTGGGTATATTAAATATATTAAGCGAAACCCTAATAAATAATCAGCAAGCAAGCGGTGTGAACCCGCCACTTAAGTAAATAATTAAAGTTTTGGATTGTTCAATAATATGGATTATTGTGCTATTCTTTTTTTTCGGTAGAATGAGGTAGGATGGGAATGAAACGTGACTAATATTTGTATGGAGGCGGATTGGGATAGGTTGGTTTATTGTTCCCTTTCTTTCTTATCTCTCTCTCCGCCCAATAAAAATGCACCATTGTTTTTATGTCTACGTAGAAGTTTTTTTTCCTTTTTGTTTGTGAACGTGACAATAATAGAGAGCCAATTTTTTTCTATGAAGCAGAAAATTTTTTTTAGTGTATCACATACAAAGTATGCTTACTTGCACGTGTTTTTATAACTATTTTATAAATTTTTTTTAATTTGCGCGAAGTTACAATTGCTTGAATGAGATCCCATTATTTCAAAAGAAAGTATGCTTTTTTGTTTATTGTCGAGCATTTGTCATCTTCAACGCAACAAATAAACGATGATGATGTTGTTGTTGTTGCATGACAATGTTTTGCTAATTTCTCGAGATTTTCAGAGATCATTTTTTTTCGCGCGTTGTTTATTATTATGACGTATTGTCTTGATCCATGTTAATAGGACTTTAATATTCTGCATGTAAATGTACATTTACATAGATGCACTGTACAATACACAAATTTACAATATAAACTACGTAGTAATAATAATAACGGTGATAAAGGTATAATGATGATTATGATGATGACGATAATAAGTACGCACAGTACTCTGATTAGAAAAAAGTGTAGTTGGCTCACGGAACATGCATTTGTTTTTTTTCTGAATTAGGATTCTCGCAATAATTAAACACGAAACATTATCTCTCACCGTCTGGAAATAGTTTAAAAGCCAGCCAAAAGCTGACAATAGTACGAAAAAAGTTGTTTGTTTTTTGAATTTTTTTTGTTTTTTTTTCCTATTCTCTTTTGTTTGTTTGTTAATTATTATTTCTCCAAATTTTTTGAATCCTGATTGTTGTCGAAGAATGTTTCAGTGTAAAATCAGAAAGAATGATTTGTGATGATGCTGTTGTTTATTCCATTTCGACACCAATGCTATTATATAATTCAAACTACAAACATGTACGTACATAATATTAATATCAATATGTACAGTATATCTAAATTCAAGAGCACCTGAGTAAAAACAGTATTTTTGGCAATGAAAGAAAGATAATCTATGGAGTGTTTGCCATTCAATATTACGTAAAATTCATTTACTTTGTACGTACATGATAACGAATTAATTATCAGGTCAATTTATCAATCTAAAACCTTAACCAGATGTTGTAATATCGATATCGGATCGTTGTCCGGATTTGTTCGTAGTTTAACGTTAATGAAAACTTGAATCAAAGAAACCCGCTACACAAGAGATAAACAAGAATGTCATCACGTATTGTCGTCTCCAATTTCTTTTGTGTATCGGTGATTCTCGTTTTTCTTGCTCGTATCTCTTTCGTAATGTTAGAAACTCAAGAAAAAGTGATTGTTTCACACCAATCATTCGCGATAAATGTAACCGCTATCGTCCATTAAAAAATAAGTTTCGGTATTCTATTATCTGCGCATATTATACTTTTATACAAGTGTGTGCATGGGCACACACTATTTTAATTTTACATTTTTAAGACCGACCGATTATAGTATCTTTATAAATATCTCACATTAATACTGTTTCACGTATGTTTTTCAGAATAGCTTAAAATTTCGTTATTGTTAGACCAAAACATCACTTACATCACACAATTCGTTAAGACAATGGTCAGAAATGTAATTATAGGAGAATTTTCTCCACCACACAAGACACAACATCATCGTCATCATCTTTATCACTCATTTTCCCAAATAGCGCCCAATACGTTAGAAAAAAGTTATAAGTACTCTTCTCGTATTTTTTTTTATTGTTTTTTGGGAATCGAAAGGTTCAGACCGTTGATTTTTTTCGAAAAATTTTTCTTCCTTATTTTTCTTTGACACTTAGTCTTAAAGAATAATAAAAATAAGACGGCGAAATAACGAAATAAAATGTCGGCAGCAGCAGGAAATTTACCCTACTTAGTTTTAGTTGAAATCTTTTCAGAAATCGAAGAAAATCTACCAAACAGATATCAAACACTCTTATCATGTTCTCTGGTGAACCGTTATTGGTGTCGTCATGCACTTCCGTTTCTTTGGCGTCGTCCGTTCAACTGTCGTCCGGAAAACTATGCAAAACTGCTCTCAATCTACCTACAATTCACCGATCCCGACGACTTGACTCTTCTCGATCTTGACATCACGCTTCCTTCTTCGTCATCCTCATCTCTTTTACTTCCCTACCCATCGTTCATAAAACACATCGATTTTTGTCACTTTGTCGATGCCGTGCAAAGCTGGATGACCACCGACGCTGACTTTAAAAAAGGAAAAAACCGATGGAATTGGAAACCGCAGTGGTTTCATCGTGAGATCCCGATCAGTCAAGAGGTTTTCTCGATCGTTAAACGCGGATTTGTCGATGCGCTGTTGTTGAATTTCATTCAGTACGGGGCGAAAGTAAAGAGCATTGCGTTTTCGTCGCAGAATAAAGAGATGTGTCTTGATGAGCTGTTGTGGCCATTCGAGGAGAATGTGAGTAAGTTGGTGGAAAATGTGGATTCAGTGTCTGTTTCTGGAATGTTCCAAAAGAAAAAAGTCTTTGGAAAATTGGCGAAAGTTTGTAACAATGTGGTAAGCTGTCTGTTTGTTACCTCTATTTGTACCATAAGCATATATTTTTGTCGAAAAGTATTAATCGATCATTTTTACCCTTAATTAGCAAAATATGGAAATAACAATTGAAGGAAACGCCGGCAATTCCTACGCTCAACTTTCTACTGAATATATACAACTCGGAAACTTCATCCAATCCCAAAAAAATCTTAACTCTCTTGATCTAACACTTCGAGAAAAAAGTCGAGAATTTATTCCTCTTTTCTTGCACTCGATTTGGAGCACCCGCTCCACCTTAAAACATCTTAGCTTATACACTGCCGATTTCCGGGATGTCAAACATCCATTAATCGGACTGGCCTCTTGTGACAAACTAGAGTCGTTGGAATTTCGTTATTGCAAAGGGCTGACGGGAGACTTCGTTGCGCCGTTTGTTAGTGATGGGGCAATGAAAAATTTGAAGAAAGTTCGGGTGTTGGGCGGATGTTGTCCGAGTTTGGTGAGGTGGAGTGAGGAGAAGTGTGGTGTTGCGGGTGGTGCTAAACATTAATTTTTCTTTTCTTTTTTTTTTACAAAAAAATAATTAATCACAAAATGTAAATATTTTTCTTTCTGTCGTGTAGTTTTATTCAGTTTTTAGAATATTTGTATATATTAACGTCTCTTTTCTGCTCTGTACATATAATAATTCAGTTTCCCTCTGTTCTGTTCTGTTCTGTTCTAAAACAACACTAAAAACAATCGATTTCGTTCTTTTCTTTCGTTCAAGTTTTTTTTTTAGATCTGTTTTTGTTCGTCATTCTGTTCGCTTTGTTCCGTCTGTTCTGTTTCTTTCTCTTATTCAAAAAAAACATTCGATTCTGTTCTAATTTTCGATATTGTGTTAACATTATAACTAACAATAATAATAACGATAAAAGAAACGTGTTATGACGATCGTTTAGTCATGTGAAAATTTGGGTAACGCCCGATTTGGATGTGCAACATCAACATAAATTTAAATGTGGCGGTTTTCCCCTTTTTGTTATTGTTGACTG